GAAATACCCCTCGAACGCTTATATCGAGGGTCCGAAGTGCCATTTTCCGAGGGGTGGAGCCCTCGGCGAAGGCCCATCGAAAGCATATTTCCGAGCACTCGAAGTACCCCTCGAACAACTGGTTGGGATAAAAGGATCATAAAGGGATCGATGTTCTCTTTTCCCCCCTTGCGTTTATCCATGTAAAAAGTAAATTTTTTCCGAAGAGGTTTTCCCGGTAGACGTTGTCCGGTAAAACCCGTAGTACCTCAAAATTAGTCGACAAAAAAATATGTTTTTCAAGCGGATATAGATCATTGACTACCCTGACTCCGAATATCACCATGCCAGCCGCCCTTAGGTTTTCAGAGAGCGGTTTTCTCAAAAAACAGTTTTTCGAAAACTCTAAAATATAACCAAAATCTTTTATTAATGAGTTAGGACTGTAGCCCGTAAATGTTTGATTAAAATGAGACATTTCCAGCTCTAGAAGACCTTCATTGCAAAGTTATGGAATATGTTTTCTATCCTACATAATTTCCATTGCGTGTTTCGTAACCAAATTTCATTCAAATGTACGTGTATTGAATTAATCATCTCATTTGCGCTACAATGAGTGCATGATACAAAAAAATTTTGGTGAAAACAATATTCTAGATAATTCACTCTATTTACTGTCAAACTTACAGTTCTTAAGTTCACTTCGTTAATAAGATGTGATTAATCCGAAGTGATTTTATGTTTACATTGTTCTTTCTTTTTTTTTCTCGTCAACAGAAACAACAAAGAAATGTGCAGTATATGCGAGATAGGAAAAAGAAGTAGATATGTCATATTTGATACAGCTCTACTTTTTGAGTGGTCACTTTTTACACTTTGCAGCTTACACAACAGAAAAGAACAGGAGAGAGACCATTTTCTTTTTTTCTCCTCATTCTTTTACGTTACATGTATGGCAATTTTTGCACACGCATATCTTGCGCTAGAAGAGATATCTCTATTCTTGCTAGATGCCTAATAAATGTGTTCATATATATAACGCAAGAAATTGCCTGTACTCATAAACAATCTCAGTGATGGCAGCGTCAAACATAACTGCGAAGAAAGACGACGAACAGCCTGATGACGAAGACAATATGGAGTGGTTGTACAAGACTAAAGAAATTGCAGAACTCTGCAACCAGCACCGTTGGGATTGCGAAACGTGCGCAGACTGTGGTTACGATCATCCATATTATCATGCTTTTCATACCAAAACTGTTTATTACGGGGACGATGGTTCAATGCGACTTCAGTATCCAGTCTGGATCTTAGATGGAAAATATGATTCATCAGATAGTACATCATCCTGCAGTACTACGACGGAAGCATTATTAGACGATTTCTACGAGTTGAACAACGAGCGTCGAGATTTTCACGCCCATCCGTCGCCAGTGGAAGATATTATTGATCCAGATTTATTAATTTATAGGCCTCAAATTGCTGATGCTGAGCGCGAAGAAGAGATGTCACTTCGTGACCAATACCAGTGGATACCGAGTGACTTTCGTGTCAATCGCAATGAAGTACACATCGAAACTCCAATCTGTCATTTACCAATGAATGAAAAGTATGAGAACACCTATAGAAATATTGAAATAATATTTGAGAAATTAGTACCAATGTTTCGAAAAATAATGTCATTTAATGAAAATGGTGATACGCGATTACAAGTTGTTGTTAAAGTACAAAGTTATAATATAAAGCCAGGTAAAGTTAGATTATATCTTTTAGAGTCTCGGAGAAGTATGTTATATCTTTGCCAGTTATTTTAGGCATGAAATATTCTGGTCGTTGGCACACTGAAGGTCGTACTGAAAATATTCAAGCTGTCGGCGTTTATTATCTCTACATTGACGATGAACTCGAAGGTGGTGCACTAAAATTTCGTCCAGCAGTATCACCCAAGCCTTATTATGTTAAAGAAGCCAATCGCTATTTAATGCCAGAAACTGATACTGCCGTTGTTTTCTCCAACGACATACCACATCGTTTCTGTTCGATACGTAATACAACTTCAAATCTGTTACGTCGTACGTTTCTAAATTTCTTTATTGTTGATCGTCAATCTCCCATTCCAACCAACGAACTTTGTGTTAACAACTTACCGTTAGTAAGCTACGATCAATGTTTGAATTTATTGAAGAGCATCACATTGAATGAAGCACAGCATTTACCGGATTTAGTTATTGAACGTATTTTATTATATTTAACGAAATATATATGGCAAACTGAAACAGACGCAAAAGATTTTCGACAACGTGTAAGACAGGAAATGGTAAAACAAAGAGCTGGCTGGAGTGGAATTGACTATGGAAATTTCGGTGATGTAAAATTTATTAATAAACCAAAGAGTGGAGTGAAATGGATGACAGTGCTCGTGACTATTATTCAAAATATTTAAGCCATACAGAATCAGAGCAATCGTTGGAGTAATAATTAAGTCATTGGATTTTTCTCTGTTTGGACGATGGTAACTAACTTGAACACTACTTTTAAAAAGAATACGGTTGATGTAGCTAGTAAAGATTCAAGACATGCGTGAGGGTTGACCTGGTGCGATTTGACAGCTCGGTGCCGCAAGTTGGCGAAAAAGAACTTCAGAAAGAAAACTTCATTTTTTGCAGCTGTGCTTACCTATAAACCTATTGTTATTGCTCAAACATGAAACAACTGACGTCTACATGGAATTTTCTTTCTTCGCCAGTACAAAGCTCGTTTCTCTACACTTTAAAGAGCCTAGGTTTGAAGCTAATGTTATAAATAAATCTGCCGATAGATTTTGTTTTCTGCTTAAAAACCTTTGAACCCATTTTTAACAATCTAAATATCTTGAAACAGCTGCGTTATTTGTCTTGTCGAAAAAAAGGCACAGATTTCTAGTGAACATTTTCGGTCTGAACTGAACTGCTAATCTCCGTTGCTTAGGACAGGAACCATGTAAATATTTTTCAATCGTAGACGCGGTTTCATTGTCTACTAGCCAGTAGAGTCTGCGTGGATATGAGAAAAGCTGGACTCGCTAGAAAGAAATGTATGTTAGGTGACAATGCCGTCGGCGGGATTCGATCATGGTACCTATAAATAGAAAGACAAATTACAAAGGAAGCTATGTATTGCTACAGACAACGCTTTTTATGAACAGGAAACTTTGGCATCCATTCAGAGTCGAAAAAAGTTGGTAGTTAGGTAGTGCATCTCATAAAGCATATGAAAAGTATGAAGTTTTGCCAGGCTCAGAGATACCAGATCATATATATATCAAAAATCTTAGAATTAATTTTATATTAACTTAGCATAATATTTGGAATAGGGAAATTTAGAAAAAAAAAATTTTTATTCGTACTTTTAAGCGCCATTATTTGGCGCCACTTTTTATATGTATTTGTTCCTTAAAAATAACATCCGTTTTTTTAGCATTTTTATTCTTACAGACTTACTTAGTTAAAATAAATAATTTCTAGTACACAATTCATCATATAACAGCTAAAATACTTTCTAGTTTTATTTTAGCGCGTGGATTGGTTTATGGAACGGCTCATGGAGTAACAAAAGAGATGTGCTTTGTTAACTGCCTTCTCGCTTATTTATTTTTGCTAATAGATAGAAATAAAAAAAGAAGACCGAAAAGCAGAACACATGCATAACTTACCCTGTCTTGTTTATTCTCAATATCAAAGATTATTAGTAACCGACGAATAGTCAAAGAAATGACTGAGATGAGAATATTTATCAACCTGAGATTGCTTCTCCGCAACACTGTTTTTAATGATTAGTAGGATAAGCGAGAGCAAAATGGATTTCCATTCTGATTCCCACACTGAGAAAAGTATACCGCATTTTGTTTTCCACTTTGCTTTTCAAAGTTTCTACTTTATCTTTTTTTCATGTTTTCTGCATTACGAAATTAACCCATCGATTTGTTTGTTGAACATTTGTGAGCGAGAGAATCAGTATGATTTCTGTTTAATCGTCGAATTTTCATGACAGTACGACATGACTGAAGATTAACATCAGGATATTAGCCAAAAAGGATTTGTGACTTCTATCTAAATGCATAAAAGTTTTACGGGGTTTCTTTTTCTTCACAAGTGTTCACCTTACAGCTATTGTTTTAGTTACCTTTTGTTTTAGATGAGTCATGTAAGATGTTTGTTGTTAAATTTGTAACTGATCAAGGTAGAAAAGTTAATTTCGAGTGGAAATGAGTTAAGTTAATGGAGTGATAAAACACAACCCCTGTGACGATAAAAAATATCCCTTTTTAACCGGTATTAGACAAAAAGTTCAAGCGTTCCCATTTTGTTCACTTTACATTTCACATCAAAGTGGAAAATCCCACTTGGAGTGAGAAATTGAAAGTGGAAATTTCCACACTGGAAAAAATTCCTGTTAAAAACACCGCTTGCAATGAACGCATGCGGTGAGATTTAGAATATGTTCCACTTGACTAAATGAGATTCTATCGTAGTCCAGTAAAGCGTTTTTTCTTAATGAATATATGCGAATTGTTTGTGAATAAATTCGCTTCTTTTTTTAATAAAAGTAAACAAAGATTTTTCTTAATGGAAAGATGATTTGAACGAATCATGATAGCATAATCCATTACATTACCTGACATCATCAACTGCATAAACTTTAAACAGAAAGTAATAATACATCTATCAATTTGCCGCATCAGCTCGTGAAATTGGTTATTATATACTTTATGTGTGTCGAACACCTAACAAAAAGATAAAAAGTCGTTTTTCTACAATCGAGATTTAACCCACCTTTTTGGGTTTCGATAGGAATACATTATGTAGACTATTTTCTATCATTTTTCAATCAAACAGATAAAAAAGTACAAAAAGCTTTTTCGCGTTTATCAGCCATATTTCGCTGATAATTTAACGATAAATTTCTAATGAACAATGAACAACTTTTGGACAGAGACTGTGATGTTGAACTTTTGAAATTCATTGGATATTATTTTGTGCACACAGAAGTCTCGATCTGTCATAAATTATATTGATTTCGAGATAGTATACAAAATCTGAGCAAGATGCTCCTACTTTACGACTTGTTTTGGGTCGAAGTTTCCACTGCTGTATTTTTCATAATGAAACTACAACACAAAATGTCACAAAAAAATCGACAAAAATAATCGCCCAAAATAAAAAAGTTCGTCAAAAATAAAGTCTTTTCGCTTTTTCTACTTCTATTTTTTGTCACAGCTTACTGTTAACATAATTTATTTTTTCGAATTTTAGCTGAAACATCATTAAATATTGAAGAGTCACTTGGACACTTTTAGTTCTTTCAACACTGGTAGTTGTTGGTTAATGAAACTATAACACAAGCGATGATCGAACGACCTTTTGCACTTCAAACAGAATATCGACGTTGTTCTAAATATCTTTAAACTTATGTGAGAACAAAAACTCAACTCACCTATAAAAAATAATTCAGTTATAAATGCAATTATTTTTCAATAATATGTGTGCCTATTGCCAATATAATCAGAGATGTCCGTGTCATTTAAAAGTTCTGAATTTGAAAATATCCGATGACTCGCGCAGGGCATGGGCATACTTTATTAAAAGTTTGTCTATAGGCGATACTATGTGATCACACGATATAATGAGATCGCTAACTACCTACAAAGTTTTAGGTATACAAGAGAATTTTAGACTTTCTCAGTATAAGAATATATTAATTTCTGAATTGAACAGAAGTGTACACGAATTTTAGATGTTGATAACTTTAGAATTTGTGAATAAAACAATATACGAATTTCAGTAAATTCTTATGTTCTAAAATGATAAAATTCATGTATTTTAAGATTCTTAAATTCATACTGTGTAATCGTTAGAAAAGGTTTATAGGAATTAATCATGTTTCTGATTTTTGTTGCTGTCTTATCCGAACTGCTTGTAATAATTAATCTATAAACAGCTTTTGTGATAGCATAATTACTATCTTCACACTAGACTACTGATATTCCAACTTCATCTATCAAGAGCGAAAGAGAGAGAGCATGTATCTTTCTCGTAACATATTAATCATCTTTCACGTCTATAGTTATCTCTGTGTATGAAATTTTTTACTGAACGTAGACATATAAGTTACATATACACTAGTGTTCAGTCTAGCCATTATCATTATATCAACTATCGCTTCATCTGCTTTATCACTATCATTTCTCCTATTTCAAAAATACAATAATGGATGCCGTTGTGTTTTTGATTCTAAGTCTTCTACCAAATAGCATTTCTTGGCAAAAGCCACCGAATGATGAAACTCTCTGGTCAACAATAATGCTGCCATCATAGTGGATAAAATTGGTACGTTAATTAGATTGAGAAATACTACTAGCATAGTAATATCAATTCCACTCACGCAACACGGCTATTTTCTTCTACCTCCCAAAGTTTATCGACAATTGTACATCTTTAAGGATGTTTCAAACGACAAAATTATACAATCTAAACGCGCACAACAACGAGAAAATTCGACCATACACCATCAATTATCATGTGTGTCCGAAGATTATCTATCGGAACGGAATATAATATTAAAACGTGGAAAAAGATTTATAGCTGAATTATTCACTTTAGCTGTCGGTGCTACAGGTATTGGTTTATCATCATATAATAGTAATCAAATATCTAATATAAAACATACGCAAAAAAAATTCTCGAATACATACAGCAACGGGATGATTTATTAAAATCAACAATAGCTTCTGTGATATCTGTAACTGAAAACGAAAAATTAATTGTAGAAGAATTAAATAATTCTTGACACTAATTAATGATCTAAGAGAACGATACATGTATCTGGCTAACGAATTGAAAACGGTAGAAAACGCCGTTAATAATATTGAAGAAAAGTCGCTACCAGCGATCGAAGAGGAACTGCACTACAGTAAGATACAAGCATCGTTACATAAATTGATAGACGGAAAACCAAACATGGATTATCTGTCAAAAGATGAAGCTGGTCAATTATACAATACACTATTACAATGTGCGCCGAATCTTTTTATGCAATTCGAACAGCCTCTGTTCGTAACAGCAAATCGCTTATTAACATCTCAATCGTTTCACTTCGCCATTAATAGCAAAAATAAATGGGAACCAAAAAGTAAATAAGACTTCTTTGATTGTACCAATTGGTAATTTAATCATTACACAAACGTTTTTTATTTTGAGTGATGACGATAATTACTCAGTTGTTTATCAGGTAAATAGTACACCATTTATCGATAGCTATTCCTCATATGAAGTGTTTGGACTTCCACGGTACATTGCTATCGACTATCTGCATAATACGTCGGTTTCATGGTACAATAATGATCGTAATCTAGCAACGTGTTACTTCGAAAATATATCATTTTGTCATGCCTTGCCAGTAATGATG